TTCCAAAAAATTAGCTTATTTCTCACTGTAGTCATAAGCTATCTGCTCGCAAAATTTCATGCAAATCCATTCAGTCGTTTCCGCGTATTAATTTAATGAAACTTTTCTAACAGCTGGCAACTTTTAAGAAAAGTAGTCTATTTTCCAATATATGTCATAGCCTATCCGTGTGCAAATTTTCATGCAAATCCATTCAGTCGTTCCCGCATATTAAGTAAATTAAACTTTTTAACAGGTGACAACTCTTAAGAAAATAGCCTATTAACCAATTTGGCCCATAAGCTATCTGCCTACAAATTTTAATGCAAATCCGTTCAGTCGTTTCCGCGTGATGATTTCCCAAACATCCAAACATTCAAACTTTCACATTTATAATATTAGTAAGATAGTAAGATGGCATTGTTAATATTAAACAAAAATCACATTGATTCCTTTTTCAAGTTTGAATTTGGAATATTAACCAATTTTTGGTTGATTTTTTTTAGTGTATAATCAGCAGGTTCTGCATGATCCATAAAGAAAAAATAACGAAAGAAATAAAAATATGGCTGCGCAGTACCAGGTTGATAGGTCTATAATGTTTACTCGTACGATAGATATTATAATTGAATTGGAAAGCGCAAAACTAAGTTTGAAATTTAAATTAGACTAATCGAAGTTCTGAAACATTGCATGTAAGAAATGTAATACAATATAAAGTTAATTGTATGTATAATATCTTACTAATATTATAAATGTGAAAGTTTGTATGTTTGGATGTTTGGGAAATCATCACGCGGAAACGACTGAACGGATTTGCATGAAAATTTGTAGGCAGATAGCTTATGGGCCAAATTGGTTAATAGGCCATTTTCTTAAGAGTTGTCACCTGTTAAAAAGTTTAATTTACTTAATATGCGGGAACGACTGAATGGATTTGCATGAAAATTTGCACACGGATAGGCTATGACATATATTGGAAAATAGACTGCTTTTCTTAAAAGTTGCCACCTGTTAGAAAAGTTTCATTAAATTAATACGCGGAAACGACTGAATGGATTTGCATGAAATTTTGCAAGCAGATAGCTTATGACTACAGTGAGAAATAAGCTA